GCGTTGAATGGCATAGGAAGAAATTCGTCACATCTAAACTCAGTTGGACAGCCATCAATGGACCGAAAATGCACTGTGCGGCAGTTTCATCCTCTCGGGATTCGTCAGCTATGTGCATTTCATCTGACTCCTACGGCACTAGAACCCGCAGCTGAACCGTTACTAGTTTGTGGTTAAGAGCACTGAGGTACGGAGAACAACAATGACCATCATACTAAGGTTACTAGATATAAGACAGCGCCGCTCGCTATCCACTGACTTGCACGTTACTGCCTTGCCGAGGACAGGGTAGCCCCTACACCAAGCGACGAACTCAGCGAACGTAAGTCGCCAATTAACTTATGGCATTATAAACAGTTTGTTTTGCGTAATCATTACAAGGAATCAATGGGGGAAATGAATACTATAGGAAGAAATTCATCACATCCAGTAACATAGTCACGACAGTCGGTGTTGTCCCCCGTAGCTCAGGGGTCTTATACACAGATGAACAGAAGGTTGAACGTCATCCACATAGGGTTAGTATTATGGTAGCTGAGCTAGTCCTTCAGATATGCTTCGTTCTACCATCAGCATGAAGAAAGTAACAAGTGCATTACTCAGCTGGTTTTTATGGCTATCCAAACAGATTGACTGGGGGCGCTTCCCATACATGTGGTACCGTTCTAGGCCATGGAAGCTTTAGCGCCGGCGGGAAACGAACATTTGCCGTCCAACAGTCAGGTGTTCTCGAAGGACCGTTGCAGTGTATGCCAGCGAGACCAAGCATCAAAGCTCCAACAGTTGGAACGTATGTTTGCTTTGTATTCCTCGATTCGCATTCGAATGCGAAAATTAAGGTTGAAACAAAGTTTAAAAAACGCATCCGGTTAGATCGTATTCTCCGATAACTTACTGGACAGTTGTTTCAACAATTCGTGATTCGTCAGCAGCCCGCCGACCTTCAACTCAACAAAGAACTTGTAATCCCGACCCCTAGTTTTTAAACCGAAACCTATGCCTTCTAATTCAGCTGTAGGCGAACTTTGGTAGACAACTTAAACTACCGTACACTTTTCAATTTTGAGGTGCAATCCCTTAGACAACTAAACCAAACAGATCCGGCAGCGTCGCATTTATGCCGTTTATCACCAAGGAAATCAAACCCTCTCACAATGACTTACAGCTTGCTTATTCGACAAAGTGCCTCAACACCCGTATGTGTTGACCCTTTGCTAATGCGTAAATCACGTCGCTTAGACCCAGGCATTTCATTTCAACCTCGGTTGATCCAGTTGAGAATCCCATATTAGCTCTGAACATGAATGTTTCGGGCAAATGGGTTAATTTTTCTGAAGACGGATGTACGTTGTTGGATGGTCGAATATATATTTTCACTATACTACATTTCGCTCGAGCCTATTCCTTTATGCTAAGTAACCAAATCATTCTTTCGGCTGATTGGCCACAGCCACAATAATCTTACTTGCCATTGTTAATGAATATTATTTCGCGGTTCTGTTTGACGACAAATGGATTACTTAGTAAAAGGCGCTAGGCCAGCAAATAATATAATGTTCTTTCGATATACAATCACTTGGTGCCTGATTTCCTTGCTCTACCAACTCTACCCGCTCAAAACAAAATGGCTCAGCATATATTGCGGTGCAAATCCATAACGGTTTTTCGGTGCGAGTTTTATCTTATCTGCTTATTTCGGCCGTGCGAGAACACTTGTTTCCACTGACCATGAAACTGTCAATACCATTGGCCATCATGCATGAGGGCTTTCGAAATACGCGCGTTAAAAGTGCATTTACTACCCCATTACCGAATATTGTGACAACGATTCCCCATTCCATTCTTCGCGTGCCGTTGAGAAAAAAAGGTTTGTCTAGATCGCTTGCCTTTCGATGCCGTTTTCTAGACACCATCTGTCTGCATCAAAATACAGCACACCTTGGACGCAACTGTGGCTACCCGTAACGTAATGACGCCGCACTCTGTCCAGATGTGCATTTGGTGAGCACGCTGTTAGTTTGTAGTTGAAACCGCTCTAACGATCCACAGGAAAGGCATGCATACGGCAAACCGTACACAGATGCTGCGATGCCTTATAACATGGCTTGGCGAAGTGTATCTAGTGGGTGGGGTCATAATACCGGAACGTTTGATGTGTGGACAAACGAACACAATCAGTAAGGACACGTGCAGGCAGAAGCTGTGCTAATGGGAGGGACCTTTCTGAAGCACCCATTGTGTGATTGGTGTGCAACGCAAAATCTCAAAGTGAATCGCGATCCTCATTGAAGTGAATCTTGGTCAAATCGATCGCGGGGACCGTAACTGCTGCCTGCCCGAAAACAATTCACTCCTCGACGCGTTTCTACCCTTTTGATCTCATCAAGCAGAGATAGCAGGCACGGGACCCGGGGACATTGGATTGTCATTAGAAACCTCTACCACTTTGGCTTCCTGGTCACGACGCGCAACACTTATCACAACGGCTAACGGCTGAGTACAGGGGTCATGTTGAAACGCGTGTAGTGTGAGTGGATTGTGACGCCCAATCCCAAAGTGGACCGGGATTCTCAGTGAAGTGCACCGTGTCCAGTTTCGATCACTGGGACCGTAACTGATAAAGCAGATGAGTATTAGGTGTTGCCTCTGCGAAAACACTGCACTCAATGACCGGTTGCGAACTTGTTTGCTCTCGCCACACAGAGATAGTAGGACAGCACTGGAGTCTCGGCCCACATTCCAGATACCCCGAAATCGAATGCTAACTCTTTCCACCTGACGACAATAGACAAGTTCGAAGTCTCCAGTGGAGTGGAGTGTTGCTAGCGGAACACATTTAACAACTAAACCATACTAACGCTTCTTGGAAGAGACGATATTTTACCCCAACGGTGGTATGGTCACATCGATTGCTGCCATTGCCCATGCCCATAAACGAACCATCTGATGGGAAACCGACAGCTGCAGACGGTCAACAACCCGTTTTCATCCCATGTTATTGAAGCACCTGTGACTGTGTACGCAAACTTAGTAGGTATGGTAATTATCTAACGGAGTCTCGAAAAGTCTATGTCGAAAGGGTGGTAAGTAAATGCAGCCGACATTTGTCAGTGCAGTGTACAGTTGTTACTTCTAACATCAACTAATACTGAATTAAATGTACCAGAGAAAGGTTTTGTTTAAGATGTGAGCGATGGGATTATAGAAGCAGAAGTACGGTACGGAGTTACCTAACGAAGCAATCAGCTAGCTAGCTGCAAGCCAACGAGGCAGATGATTGGACGCCTACGCATCTTCGCCTATATGCTGACTGATCCATTTTGGTAGCTTTGGAGTGAGTTTGTCTGACTGATTTAAGGGATCTCATGCATGCAGAAAAGTCGTTAGTGACCTAATTATTTACATAGAAGCTTCTACAGCCTAACCATGCTCTCATTTTTACTAAGCCTGCTTTATCGAATTAATCATTTGTCCCTGAAGTTCCGAGGGCTGTGACATTGTATGTATGTATACAATGAGCGTGTGCTGTATGTTTCTCGTTCATTGCATCTTGATGTTCTAAATGTGAGTAGTCTTGAAACAAATGTTGTAGTCACCTCGATCACCGGGTTTGTGATCCAGTGTATTGTCGATGGAGGACACAGGGGACGCAGTCCTTGTGTGAATACTGCGTTGACAATGCTCCTCCACGATTGAACGGACCACTAACTACACCTTTTTCAGCCAACTGAATCCATACCGCTTTCAAACTCATCCATTAGGAAATCAAGTTCTTCCACTGATCTTGCACTGTGGTCCATAACGCTTTCAAGCTGGGTCTAACGGGCCGAAACACTTCTAAAATCATGTGCTATTCGTTGAGTGACCAGTCTCAAATAAGCAGATATTATAACGGATGCGCATACATAGCTGGGTGATATCGTCTTAGTTGAATTTGGTCACCCAATGAATCATAGCATTTAGGGGTCCTCGTGCTCGCTAAATGAAACTTGAAAGTGTTGTGGACCATCTTGAAATAGCTATGGAGGAAAATCTTTTCCGGAAGAAGGAAGTCGAAAGTGCTATGGATTCAACTGGCTGAGAAAGGTATAGTCACATATATGGGCACATCCATTAGATACGCATCGTTGCAAAGAATTCACGCTTGTACGACAGACATCCAAGCCTTGGCAGAGCAGTCCCGAATCAATCATGGGTCCTATTCGCATGCCTATTTAGGAACTGCAGTCCTGTGTGTGTTCGAAGCCAAAGTAATGACAGAATTGGGAAAATAGTGTTATCTAACACTCGCAACACTCGGAGTAAGACGAATAAACCCAGCTTTGAGCTTGAATCTACATCATTGAAATCAGAGGGTCTGTGAAGACATTTTGGCTTCGATCATACCCAACAATGAGATTCCGGTATCGTATCCATCTGTTTGCACGCTGGGCAATCAGCGATTTCTCTGCTGCGGTTAGGACTGCGAACCCCGTCAACACTGACGTAATGCCTCGAAAACCGGTTAACTGGACTCAAAACACATGAAAAGCCCAAGACGAGGTACTTCTATATGCTCAGTCCGAGACAAGCATATGGGATAATAGAATGCTATGTTTACAGTGAGAACCGCTAGTAAAGTGATCTGGCATGTTTATTTAAACCCACCTTAATTGTGCCAATTGTTCTTTGTTTCGGTTAGCTACAAGTTTACTGAACGACGGATTCTGGACATTTTTCATCATCGGATTGCAATGCCTTGCAATACAACACTACTTATGGTACGATGCAGTCATACTGTATAACTGACTATTACCATTCTCAAATATTTTTAGTAAAATGGATTAGATAGCTTATACCAACTTACGCTTCTTCTGCAGGATGGTCATAAATAGAAACTTGAATAAAAATGACTGAGCAATCTACGCGAACCACTGGTCACCTTATTATGTTTTCTTGATCATCTTCTGCGTATAAACAGTGTGCAGCCGTCACCACCCAACTGGGTTCAATTAGAGCACCTCCGCAGTAGTGTTCGTTATTCGGTCTCAATAGCGCCCCGAGTCCGGAATGCCTTTTGGCCTGTACTGACACAGCCCATGGGTAGGTACCTTTTCGAACCGGGCTCCCACCGATTATTCGTTTGAAACGGTATAGACGGTCTAAGGAGAATGCACACACAATACCTGAACTGAAAGAAGCACAAAATGCTGAATAAATTTTACACAATAATGGGGATATAAGCAATATTCCTTTTCAACGAAGTGGCCGTAAATTTGAATGCAACTGCAATAGGCGGGATTGTAACTGCCACTATTATTGTCGCAGCTGTTCTGAAACCGTGGCCAGCTAGCTAGGTCAGATTCTGATAAACTATTAGGATGGTCAGAATGGTATTGCTGTCTTTTGATATATTTGTTAACAGCTGCGTTTATTTGAACAATTTCAATAAGTTACTTTGACCTTGTATATTATTTTGAGGGCAGTTTTCGCCCTAACTAGCAATAGTGGTACTTTAGCTCAGAAACACGTTTTTACAGCTGTACAGAACCTTTAATGCAACATGGAGTGAAAACACATTCGCACAATTTACTAGTACCAATTTAAACTTGAACAAAAAGCAGCAAAAAAGCACATGAGATCAACAGTGCATTAGGTGCTAGAACCAATCAGAACCGTACTGTACGGTGGTTTCAAAAATGTCGTAAAGTTTACGGGTGAGTCGAAGATGAAGAGCGCTGCGGACGGTCACTGGAAGTGAACAACGATCAATTAAGGGCCTTAGTTAAAGCAGATCCGCATAAAATTATTCCAGATCTTGCTGCTGACTTAGCACTGTGGCGTGTGACAATTTTAAAACATTTACGGGAGGTTGGAATGTCAAAAAAATTTTATGAGTGGGTGCCGCATGAATTGAATGAAAATCAAAGAAATCGACGTTTTGAGGTGTACTCTGCACTTCTGAGCAATAAAACCACGTTTCTCGACTTGACTGTGACTTGCGATGAAATGGTATGAAAACCTAAGAGAACATGGGCACATCGATGAGTTGGATAGTTAGGATTTATATTTGCTGTTTTCTTCATCCACACAACTTCTCACTGTGCTCTTACTTAGCTTGAAGACCCACGGATGGTAGTTGAAAAACATGCACACATTGGTGGGTTGGATAAACAGGTTTTTACTTCCTATAGGGCTTCCTTTCTATTACACACCTAGGTGAAAGGTATGAGTGCCTGCAAGACATGGACCCACAGAATGGGTGAGTAGTTGTTGACCGTAACTAACCCACCAAATTTTTGTACGCAAATCCACTTGTCTTGCGTTATCACATCTTACCTCTTGTGGGAAGTAAATCGTTATTTCTAATTGATTGGTTTCATGACGGATGCAGTTCTAGGTTTTAACGTCTTTCGCCTTCTCGTGTCTGCTCACACACTTTCACTAGTTATAAATTATTGTTATATACCAATGTTATGAATCCTTACCTTACATTTTCCATGTACATATTCTCATGCACTTCCTAAAACTTCGGTATTTTGCTTTCTTCTCCTAGCCGTCCGCCTAAACGTATCCGGACGACTTGTAATTATCGTGGATTCCGACGATTTTCGAAACGAAATCAAGGGCGCAAGAATCAATGGAATTGGAGCCACAAGTGATTTTGTACATCTATTTTGTAAAACCGTTCTGGCGTTCCTTATGAATGACGAAATTATTTGCCAACAGAGCAATTAGCATGTCAACTCGACTCTTGAATTACTTACCATACTTCACAATCAACATGTCTGTGTGTTGCTGTCTGCTCACACCCCCAGAATCGAGAATCCTTCAATTTTGCTGAGCAGACTCAGTATCACATAGAATAGACCAGACAATCTGTGGCTAACGTATCCAACGAAATGAGGACAATCCTTACCAGAGTTAGGCATTTCTTTACTCCTCACTCGCCACATCTTCAAAAGCGGTTGCAGCATTTATATATAGTCTATAAAATTCAGAGGTCGCCCAACAAACGCTTTCTTGAAAAGATGTTTATCGAAAGTTACCAAGAATGCTATCAGCACCCTCAGTCGGATACCGTTCGGATGGATACAGCAAGCTGGATGGTCTGATCATTATCTTTATCCACGGTGTGCCAGAACTTACTTTCCACTATAATCATGAGTGCGGTAATTTTGATTTGGAACAGTGGAAAGTTATTCTTGAAACATTTTTATTGGACAAGGTTCTGGCGCGACCGCTCACCAAAGTATAAAGAAAGCCGACCAAGAATCCTAAAACTCCTAGTTCAGTCAGAGCAGACAGCAACGGAAGTGTTAGAACGTTGGCAGAGACATCGGAAAAGCCTTCCATCTGAACTTCGGTCAAAAGCTGCTGGAGCCTTGCATAGACCAAACATGCGCCTACCTGAAAAAGCAAACCTACCTGCGATTACGCAGGTGTACCACTTTGCCACTCGGTCACGCGATTCCGCGGTATGTCCGGATGAGGGATGGCCAACTCAGTCTGTGAACGACCATCATTCCATCAAAAAAGCGACTAACGGCTGACATCAGATCGGTCGACATTCTAACACACTTGACTCCTTTGGTTCCCTGTGGGCTCCAGGAACCCGAGAAAATATTCAGCACTTATATCAATGCTCAAGGCCCTTTCAATAAGCTGACCGAACTGGGACATCGTCAAGTTTTGAAGAGATGCGATATCAACGGTGTCCCGGCGACATGGTTGCACACTGGAATGTTAGACACTGAGGTCTCGCTGCCAGACATGTCACTCATACGAAACGACAGGATTGCGAAAGGAGGAGGGGTAATTTTTTATTACCGAAGCGAGCTAAATTATCAGTCCGTTGAGGATTCAGACTTACAGTTGCCGATTCGCTTTAGTGTCGTCTGAAAACACATGGCGGAGACACGTGCCTGGAGTTCCGCCCCCAAACTCTAGACCGGAAGTGGACTGGCACCTTTCGACAGCTTTAAAATGCAGTCTAAAACGAAACCACACTCGCATCCTTATCATGAGTGATTTCAACGTATACTGTTTGAAAACTATTGCTACAATGGGAGAACCATTTGAAGCAGATCTGCAAGTGCTCATAACCAGTGTTCCACTTTACAGTCACATCATTGTGCCCACTCGTTTCAGATCAGCTAATAGACCATCGTTGCTGTTCACCAACGAGGAACATATGATTGATGTAATGATTGTAGAATGCTTTACGGGTCGCAGTGATCACGCAGTCATCATTTTTGCCTTCGTCTGCTATGCGAAACATTGCCATCCGACCAATGAGTAGGTACGCACTATTACATGCTACGACCGCTTCGTCTAGCTCGTAAGTACCACAACCTGGTCGTTCCTCGGTAAAGGAAATCGGGAAATCGCTTGACTTGAATTCGTCAGCAAATTCAGTCAACTGGTTACGGATGCCTCAGAGACAAGGGTTTTCAAAGGACCTAAAACGGTCATTATCGTGAGCAGCAGAACTAGAAAATGGTTGACTGTAGGCAACACAGCCTCGCGGCAGTGCAGATCAACAACGCCAGATACTTGGGACAACTACGTAGCCCATCTTAACCGCTGTACTCAACTGCGAAGTCGCATATCAGCAGCATATGGCGAAAACTTTCAGCACTAACCCCAAACTGATGTACAAGTATGTCAATGGCTATAGTAAAGCAGGGCAGGGTATTCCTCTGCTCCGGACGACTGATGGTCCAACTAGAACAGCTATGGAAGCAACAAACGCCCTGTAGATATAATATGCCCCCACGTTTCAAATGGTATGAACTTCAAGCCATCTTCCAGCATTTGTTTCCCTGCCTCCAGGACTAACCCACATCTCTTTTACTGCCGAAGCTGTACTGCAAAAGCTGACGTCACTGCCCAACGACAGCTCTCCGGGTTTAGACACCAGTCGTCTAGACGCACTTGGGGCAGCAGCAAGACAACTGGTAAAAACTTTGGCTAGGCTCTGTCCAGCGCTGCCTAGACCAGAACCAGATTCCTGCAATGTGGAAACTTGGAATAGTGACTCAGATTCACAAAGGCGGAAGCAGGACTGAGCACTCAAACTACCTCCCAGCGTCACTTCATTTATTGTCCAAGGTCATGGAATCCATTGTTGCCGATGCGTTGGTGTGTTATCTAGAAAATTGACACAGTATTGCTCATGAACAACACGGTTTTCGTCAACAACGATCATGCACAAGCAATTTATTAATAGCACAGTATAGTTGGACCGAATCTGATGACGCTTGAGAGGCGGTTGATGTGATCTACTTGGCTTTGTCGTAGACATTCGATCGTTTAGACCATCGGATTACCCTTTCTTAGCTCCAGTATTATGGGATCAATGACCCACCCTTGAGCTGGATTGCCAACTTTCTCCTGCAACGACAACTAATAGTCAGAGTCCGGAGTTGCATATCTGACCCCATACCAGTCGAGTCTGGCGTGCCGCATGGCTCAGTTCTAGGTCCACGGTTGTCTTTGGTATTCATCAATGACATTGCACGGAATATCGCTCCAAATTGTCTGCTGTTTGATGACGAGATCAAGATGTGCTGCTGAATTCAGCCGGATACCGATCGGAATTTACTTCAATGTGAACTGGATATGGTTGGTGCATGAGTGGTCAGACAGGAAGCTGTTAAGTTCAAAATGGACAAATGCAAAGTTCTCTCAACAGGACACCAGAGTACCTATTCCTACAAGCTAACAATGCAAGGACTGCAGAGATCATCCGTCGAACTCGACCTTGGCATGCTTGTGGAGGACCACAGGTTGTTCTGAATAATTCGCAGACATCGGAAACTGGTAACCAGCACACCGGCTTGCTACGACGGGCGTGCGGACAAACAGACACCTCTATTTTGAGACAGATGCTGAATGCGCATGTTTGCCCCATGTCGAATATGCAATCCAAGCCTGGCAGCCATGGCTAAAGCACGACCTTACTGTACTGGACCAAGCTCAACGTTGGGTTTCTAAATACATCATTGGAATGCGCCACCCTCCATGTGAGCATAGGCTGAAACGTTCGGGAGTATTCAGCGGGTGGTATGACCGACTATGAGGCAACTTGATCATGGCTTACTTGATTTACACAATCCAAATAATTTGCATTGCTCCTTACTGCAACTGAGCAGTAGCACCAAGCTAAGAGGCCAGTCCTTAAAATTGGTAGAACAGTACAGCAGTCTGGAGTGCCGTAGAAATTTCTTTTCCATTCGTGTGTGTCAAACATGGAACGCTCGCCCCGAATCGGTTGTTTCTGTACCTACGCTAGCCATATTTAAAAGTCGGTTGGATGACGCAGTCTGCCACTTACATTTTGTTACTTAACACTACTCACCTTCCTACTCCTGGGAAATACATGTTATTTATATTTTTCGCCTATTGGAGCTATGGAAACACTCGGACTGTAGGGAGACTGCATTACAAACGATAAGTCCATTGTTTTGGCAGCGGAACTACTATGTGCATATTCGCATCAACGTTTTTCGATAACCTACCAGACTACCCAACGGGGATTGTAAAGCAGTGCATCTTAGTTGGTTTAAAAGCATTGTTCATTCCCCATTGTAAGAATCAAAACATAACTTTGGGGCCATACAAAATTCGACATGACAGAAGCTTAATCGGGTTTTCGCTATGCTAAAACTTCAGTATGATTCTATTGTGCTGCTTGGTAACAAGGAGTACACACTATAAGTTTACCGAAGACCAGGAGAAATGAAATTGCTGGTTTATTCCTGTTCCAACATCAAACTGTGCGAGAATATGTCAACATTCTTAAATAAAAGCGAAATCTGCTCCCACACCTCCCGTGAGAGACTTGGGTGTAGTCACGCTCCGCAAATTAAAGTCACTAAACAACACGAACAAGCTATATCATAACCGATCGCGCATGCTATGGGCCAACAAATGCTGCTTCTGTACTTGGTCTAAAGAGGTCCCCACTCGCCTCTCCGTTTCTATCACCAGACAAATGTTAGAGTACGGCGCACCGGCTTACTGTGCATTCACCTTCTGCGAGGCACAGGATTATCCGACTAGTTTAGCATATCCTTACAATACTAATTCCTAGTTTACGGGCTTGTGGCGCGAAGACCAGTATGAGGAACTAGGACTTTACACCTTGTCCTATCGTCGGTTGCGATTTGATGTTATCGCGACCCACCGCACATCACATCTCGGTGACTTCCACATGTTGAGGCAGCTGTTCCGCTTGTGAACGCTATGCGTCACACGCGGACACCCGTACAAGCTAGCGATGTCGCATATGAAGTGAGTTACACAGCCCCTGGTCTTGGGACAGAGAATAACGAATACTCCAACAAAAGAGCTATTGCATGTGCGTCCGTGTTGCTCCATCGTAATTAGTTCAGGCACGTGCGCAGAGTCACGTCATTGATTCCTGAGCGTCCGTTGCACATTACAACTGCGCCATATGCGATTCGAGTGCGATGCGCTCTTTATCTGAAATACACATAGTCGGTGTTAAGGCAGTGCTTGAATAGCGACACTGATTCTTCTCGGTAGTTTTCTTAGCCAAATGCTGTCAATATTTCAACATTCGGTGCTAGGAGTACAGAGGTTCAGCTATCCCAGCCTTAGGTCAGGTACCACTAGCTTGTACCGGTGCCGCTTCGTGCACGTATGTGAAGCAGTGGTCTCAGCATGGGGAAGTAACCCAGATGCAATATCCAAAGCTTCATAATGTGATCGACTCTTAACCGACGATACGACAGGGTGTATAACCCCAGTCGTCTCCATCGGTCTTCAGACGGCATACCCCGTAAACTGGGGTTGAGCCTGATAGTACACGTTCCAGTCTTCACACCTTGCCACGGGTTATCGGACAACAGGCGGGTGATCAAGTATCAATCTTATGGTGGCAATCTCTTCAAACCAAATGCAAAAACTGCGTTTGAGCACATTCTTCTGGAGAATAAATCGTGGAAGCCAATTACCTGCAGTAGTTCAACACTGCTGAATTTACATTCCACCATCTTACACTTCAGGGAACGATTGCACACTGATAATAACCTTTTGCGTTTGTGAGCTCAATGATACTGTAGGCCAATCCTTTCCAAATGCCACGTGATAAATTAAAGAACGATTAGAGCATCAACAGATTACGGATTTATCTTACAGTAGTTGGATCATACTCCGATGGGCTTTCACATAGTAAACCTTTTGCTTGCTCCAGACAACAGTAAACTGTATTCAGATGGGAACGTGCTTATGAACAGGTTCTCATTTGGGAAATCGCTTTGCAAATTACTTCAACCGAGACCAAAATTATCTAGGAGCTTGGAGCACAGATTGTCCACGCAATGTGAGCGATTCCAGCCCTTGGCGCGGAGTCCATGATGGAGATCAGCTCTTTTGACCAAGCCCCAGAGATAACCATTTGGCTGAGTTTGAGTAGCAGGGTTGCCATCGCATTGAAACGTTCGCACGGCACCTGCTGTGTACTAAACAACGAGTTGGAACCAGAGAGCGATGTGCATATAAAATCACATACTCTCTAATCCATCTGTACTCCAGCATTGCAGTGACTTAGTAACAAGTCACGAAAGTAGTGTCATGCAGAAGTGCTAAACACTTAAGGCATATATACTGCAGCCATAGTTTAAACTTCGAAATTCTCCGCATCAATTAGACCACCTTTCAGCTCGATGTTATGATCAAACATATATGAACAAATGACCAAACATGTACCTCATCCAACAATGTGAATATACCAATACAAAATAACATGTATTAACACTGTGTTTACAGGAGGACCTGGACAAAGCGTACACATGGTCCATCGAGAACATGCTACACTTCAACGTCACAAAGTGCAAAGTTCTCAGCATGCGGCACAAGTGTATGCACAAGTACCACCTAGGACCACAAATTCCACAGTCGTCTTCTCACGAGTGCGATCTCGGCGTGATAGTTCAAGATGACCTCGATTGTTTGAGGCAGACTGAAAAGGTAGCTAAGAAAGCAAACCAGTACCTCGGCCTTCTTCGCAGAGCTTTCGGGAAATTTGACCCTTCAGTCTTTCCAAAAATGCTTAGTGCGTACGTGAGGCCGCACGCGCAATACACTATTCAAGCGTGGCAACCCTGGCTCAAGCACCATCTCACCGCGCTCGATGTTGCACAACGTAGGGAAATGAAGAGCATCAAAGGTTTGACCAGCCTCCCCTACCCACTCAGGCTGAAGACCCTCAAAATATACAGTGGACGTTATCGGCGTCTAAGGGGCGATCTCATAATGGTGTATCAGATCCTGAGAAACCTCAACCACCCATGCCATTCCCTTCTAATACTAAGCAGAAACACTACGCTAAAATGTCACCAGTTTAAGTTAGTCACGCAGTACAGCCGCCTGGAATGTCGGTGAAACTATTTCTCCATTCGAGTGTCATAGCCTTGGAACGCCCTCCCGGAACATGTAATTAATGCACCCACCCTATCCTTTTTCAAAAAACGCCTTGACGATCCTCTGTCACATTTACACTACGTGCTATAGCCCATGACCACCAGATACTGGCACTAATGCACAAAGACAGTGGATAGTGCCATAACCCTACTCGAGAATGAGTCACTCCAAACACCTTGCACGAACTTTGATAAACGCTACTACTATAGAAACTGGATTTCTATATCCTGTCGACCCAAGATAGTTGCACACGAGTAAGCGTCGTCCGTGCTGTCTTTTTATTTTTTTCTCGCCTATTATGTGATCAATAACCACTCCCCTTACTGCTTTGGGTGCGTACATTTTTATTTCATACTCCTTTTATACGACACTGCAGTTAAATCTGCAATCGCCCGAACTGACGACTTCATTATCCCTTGATCTATCTTTTTTCACGCTAAACACCCTACGGGACATGTCAAGCACCTGCTTTTTACCCATTATAAATCATTGTTCATTGTTTAGTCTCTTGTAAGTTTGAGAAACACACTTATTAGTCTTTCAAAATTCACAAATGATTCCACGTTTGCTGGCAACTTTCATTATTAAATTGGATAACTATTTCCAATGGAGGATTATTTGGTGACAAAAGACGCATATTTCTACTTGACTTAGTTGGATAATAACACCGTCCCGCAGATAACTTGAACTCAAGTCATTGATTAACTGTGCAACTACTTGGCAACTAAGGCCATAACTTTTTGAGTCCTGAATTAATTTAGCTATAACAACGTGAACCTCAATCTTACTCCACATACTGCAGAGCCAAGTATCGGCGTTCTGGCCCTTACTTAATTGTTGTCGGAAGCCTATTGTACGTATTCTGGCGAGTATAATCAGGAATGACACACTGAAGCAGTATCACAATTTAAACTAAGTGGTATTTATAATTACCCCCAAGACACGAAGGGTTAACCCTTTTGTGATGGGCTTGAATACCTCGTGTACCGGCCAGTCTCACAAGGACAGTCACATCCCGTCCTTGGGAAGTAGATATGTGGTGCGGAGAACTCAATGAAATAATAATTAGGAAGAAGGGTGACAAAAAGTACCACTATTATAATAGGAAGCTGAACAGGCTCCAATATCTTATTCACCCACGTGTACCTTAAATTTACTCTACGGTGATGCTACTTCGGCACGTCGAAAACAAGCAAATGGGGACAAATTAACATGGCACCAAGTTCACATGCTTCCCACCTCCACAATCAAGACATGATGACGCGCAGCTGCCTTTCCGTCAGCACTGAATGCACAACATGGGATAAAAGAAAACCCCCGGCTCGAACACGCTGACACTTACCCGGGCCATCGGTTGTGTTGATCACGGCGGGATGTACGTATTCAAACAGAAGCAAAAAGATGAACAATCTGTAACACCTGTGCATCTGTGTGCGACCACTTTCCCAAAACAGGCGACGCGGAATGTCCCGAGCTTCGATTTTCCGTTCGATCTGCGTCCGCTACAGTCAGCCAGGGTGGTCGTCCCGGCCTGTTCGTCTGACCGCTGCTGGCATGCACTTCGGTGTTAGCCAATAGCCTGCCGACGTCCTTGCAGGGTGCAACAAGCGATGGAAGTCACGTGATAAATGCGGTGTATGCGCCTCGACACCGTTTGTTTGGTCCATGTGGTCACCTCGCCTGCGTACATTTTTTGGATACACAATACGGAACGCTTTCAGACAAGTCTAACACTAGAGCTGAGACGTGCGATAATAATAGTAACCAAACATTGGTTTTGTAACGTTGCAAAATCGTCATAAAAAGTCCGCCAGAACAGTTGGAACCGTTTTCCCCGTAATAGTGCATAGAGCACTGTTTGTTACCATAGGTTGCATTTCACTGTTGTAGAAAGTTCCATTTTTAGAACAGGTGAGCCATTGCTCTGGAAAATCTAGTGTTCGATCTCGCATGCATGTTATCATGCCGTACGCTAAGTTGTTGCATTGTAACACGCTGAAGCTTTGCTGCCGCGAATGACTGATTTCACTTCGCATTAGTAAACGTGTAAATACAATATCGCGTTATCGTGATATACCGAATGACGATTTGTCGAACTGTTGGGTGTCAAACATGAACTTTAACACTTCTATTAAGTGGCTACATATACGAGAATGTATATATTGTGTAAACGCTGACCTGTGACCCGCGAGCTCAATCATACTATGGATCGGGAAATAAAACATTTATTTATTCGTTTATGAAGAAGCAGTGGCGAGTAAAGATAGAAGATGGATAAGTTGTTCGGAAATATGTACATTAGGTTACTTAAGAGAGTGGTAATGGTAATGAAATGCACCCACTGGCAAGCTGCTATTCTCCTAAGTATGGCGATGCAAATCTGAAATGCTGCGGGTGAGACAACAAAATCGGAGTATAATATCGTGTTGTTGCACCAAATTCCATCACTTTGCATCGCAAGATGATTTCAACTGGGCTTAGTAGTTGTCAATTCAGAACCTGCAACAGTATTGAGCATTTGCCACGGGAGCAACCGTACTTCTCGACTCTGACAACAACATCTGGTGCTCGAGATGATCTTAGTTGCTGGCAATAAGCCGAATAAAAACAGGAACAGCGAAAATTAACAATTATGGCTTTTGCGGGTTGCGTTTCGCCGGTCCGACCCAAGAGTATTTTTGCAAATGGCCAACAATTATGTGAGACCTTGTTGCGAAAATAACTTTAGATACAGGCGTTTACTTGGCAAAATCAACTCAGCGAAAATCACGGTTTTTGGCAATCCACAGTCCTTGATATAAATTGTCCGTACACTATGAATAATGAAAAAAGATTTATCACGGGTAAAACTTTTGCTTGACAAGTTCCGCAGGATCGGTGAAAATTAAAATTAATAAGGATCAGAGAATAAGTAAATCGTCACCTTCAAGTGGGACTGGAACGATAAGATTATCACGTGAGTGTTTCCACTTCCTTGGGTCGTTGAATCAGGAGTTGAAAGAATTTGACATACAGATGGACCTTGTTATAACTCTCGCTTCTTAGTAAGAAGACAGAATTGACACTGCTTCCAAACCTTTAGTTGCACAACTGATATTACAACCAATTGTGCGGGAAAGACGTTAACTACACACTTGGTCGAAACAAATGGATGCTCACCTGCCATGTGGTTGGCTGAAGTCCCAAGCCAACCTACGAACACGCGCTGGAAATCGATCGATTTTCACGTGCTGTCTGTGTAGCTGACATCCATGATCTCTCTAACGCCTTCCCCGGTTAAAACTAAAATGTTACACGCAAGATCATTTTCTTAGAATGACTGAGGCGCTGAATTGGGGGGTTTGTACGTGGGGAAGGTCATCGTTCAACTTCCACTTCTGTGCTCACGCCAACGTGTTGCTCAGTTTGTGGTTCCATTGGCTTTGCAAAGCAAATGTATCTAAAAGAACGTGTAAGGGAATCTCTGTAGTGTCATTTTGCTTAACCTGTTCGGGTGTATGACGATGTTTAATTTGATTCACATGACCTGTAGTTAATCGGTTCTGACTTTCCACTTTATCAGGACATTTCCTATTCTTGCTTTGACGATTCCGGGAATCCAATGTTTATGTGTATCCCTGAAGTTGTATACATAGACTGGGTCACCGGGATGAGAATATCTCAAGCGACTACCGTGCTTACGATTGAACTGATCTGCCATTGTCTGGTCCCAATCATTACTCCTTTGCTGGAAACATGGTATCGAGCGGTATGCGCAAAAGTCGCCCAATACAAAGTTCCGACGGTTCTTGGTGGTTTGGGAGAACAGGATTTGGTGTTGAACGGTAAATGCGATACAATGCGTAAATTTGTAGCAATACCTCCCTCTCCTTTAAATTTAAACAAAGCACGTTTGAATCTATCCACAAAGCTATTAGCCTGTACATTGGACTGGGGATGATAAATGGGACTTCGTTTATGCTGTATATCTATGGATAGCCAAAATCGGTTGAACCCGTTCGATGTGAATTGTGCACCATTATCAATGATGAATGTTTCTTCGTAACCAAACTGTGCATAGTGGCGACGAAGAACTGCAATCGCGGAAGCTGTCGTCGGCTGATTGACACAAACTATTTCTGACAATTTTGAGTATGAATCGACAGTAACCAGAAAATGTTGATTGTTCAGTGAGCCTGCATAATCCACATGAATCCGCATACCACGAAGGATCAGAGGACCGGACGACCACGAACGGTTCCAGTGCCATCTTAATACGGTGTCGAACTGGTCAGTTCAAAATGCATTACCAGTCAACGTAGACAAATGTCGCGTTGTGCAATTACGCCATAGACACGACTACACTGATTTGCTTGGGGCACATGGATTGCAGACCAGATCCCACGAACGTGACTTTGGTGTGCTCGTACAGAGTGATATCAACTGTTCCAAACAGATTGACGTAGGTGCGAAAAGAAGCAACCTGCACGTCGGCATGCTGCGAAGGGCATTCGGTAGGTTTGACCCATCAATCTTCCCAAGGATGCACAATTCCTATGTGCGCCCGCATGTTGGATATACTATCCAAGCTTGGCAACCTTAGTTGAAGCTCGAAGTAGAAGCATTAGAGGCACCACAACGAACAGCAACAAAGAATGTAAAGGGCCTGCGCCATCACTCTTACCACCGAAGGCTGAAGTTGCTGGGAATTTTCTGCGGACGATATCGAAGGCTGCGCGGTGATCACATATTAGCGTATCAGATACTGAGTGACCCCAACCACGTATGCCGCCATTTGCTGAAACTTAACCACAACGTGCAGTTCAGGGATAACTGCTTGAAATTGAGGATACAATATTGCTTGCTAGATTGTCGACGGAATTACTTTTCCCTTCGGGTTTGCCAACCCTGGAACACACTCCTAGACTCAGTTGTACCCTCCCCTACTTTGGAATTTTTAAAAAGCGATTGAATGTTTTTCTTAGCTCCCAGCACTTTGTAGCCTAAACTACGATATTGTGGATTACGCTAATCAAGCCTTTCTACACGATTTATTTATCGATTTGACCCAACTGAGCGACCATGTCTTACTTTTCTCACGCTTTGCAACAACGTTCACTGTACCCCGTTTATTTCTGCACGCTTACACTCGATTTTTTATTATGTTACACTGACGTTATTTATCAATGCATTCACCCCGGTTGACGCTCGATAGATGACCCACGTATATTTTAATTTTATCGTATTCACTCCAGCTATCCTATAGGACGTGTCAAGCACTTGCTTTTATCCCGTGATAAATCGTTGTTCATTGCGCCGGGGGCAGTTGATTTCGGCCAAGGATGGAGGTCAAGTTTGATAAGAGCTTTCGCAGGCTGTGTACATTTGGAATCACTACGAAAAAGATCTTCAACATCCTTATCAATATTTGGCCAATAAGCATAACATCTGGTAAATGATTTCATTCATGTAATTCTTGGTGTCCGGCGTGAAGCATTTGAATTTCTTTTACTCTGAGATTTTTAAAGATCACAGTGCGGTCTGTCAACAGTAAACAGTCGTTCACTATTATTAAGGCATCTTTACACAAGTAATATGGTTTAATTTCCTTGTCTGATTGCATTCTTGACCAACCGTTGCGAAGATAAAAGGTGACTCGTTGTAAACAACCATCTGATCTCCTAGACTCACAAATGTCATTGTGCGTAACTGGTTAGTTTCGTGTGGTATCCTCAAGGATAGATTTTACGTCAGGGTCAACTTAAACTGATGAAATGACCGTGTCTTCATGTGGCTACGAGTTTGATGTGTTAGCAATTACGCCCGATACGGCGTCAACATGACCAAAGCATTCCGAACGGATGTGTTTACTGGTAAAATCGTATCCGAGAAGTATTGTTGCCCAACGTTGCAAGCGATTTGCGGTGTGAACAGGAATTCCTTTCTTGGTACCAAATATAGACAATCGGGGGCATGTGATCAGTGTATAACGTGAAGTTCCGACCAGGCAACATCTTATGAAACTTTGACTGCAAACACAATTGGCTGTAATTCCGTTCAGTTGTTGTTCAGTATGTGAAAAAAGACTGACCGCTTTTTACATGCCATCCGGAAATTGGTGCAGCAGTGCTTCTCTAATCATGTCCTCCGTAGCGTCCGCAGCAACTATGATGGGTACTTTCGGGTCATAGTGTGTATGTACAAGACCAAAATTAAAATGCGGTTCATGTTAACGAAGGCCGACTGGTCGACCCGTAGCCTAGAGATAAGGAGCTTGTCTAGCAATCTTGCGGCGCGGGTTCGAATCCGCGTAGAGGTGGGCGTCCTCGCGGTATACTCAGCCCGCGTGCGACTGGTGGTAGTCGCACGGCAGCGAAGCGCCGTTACAGCGTACAGCTGCCATATTATTATTATTATCATTATTATTATTAAATGCCGAGTGACAAGC